CCGCCGAAGAGTAGTTGGAGGCGTCAGGCTTACCCGCCGGAGAGGAGGTGGAGGCGTCAGGCTTACCCGCCGGAGAGGGAGTTGCCTTCCTTCCCCGGTAGCGGTTCCGACGCCTGGAGGAAGCAGATGGCAGGGGAGGACCAACAGCTGGAGATGGTGGAGGTACAGGGCCGGAAGTGATTGACTGCTGAGTTTGAATGTCTCTGAGTGGTGATTTGGGTGGTGGAGATCTATTGAGTAGCTGAGAGATGGCATCCTGAATGTTCCACTCAACTATGCCGATATATCCTGCCTGAAGGAACAAGGTCCGGAGCTCTGGGTATTGTTGAAGTTTTTAAGTACTCCTTCTGCAGTCCCCAGCCGCTGCCAAGGTGGATTGATTGTGGATAGGTAGTCTATTGTTTGTATAAGTAGTTTTAGAAAATCACTTGCCTTTACATGTGGTGGCTCTGCTGGGTCCATGTTTGCTGGTTCCTACTGTCAGGATTTGGTTGAGGTTTGTGGACCCAAATGCAGAGGCAGGGAGGCAGAGGTGAGTTTCTTGATGATTTAATGATAGTTAAACAAACAACTGAGATAGGAATCCAAAAATCCAAAAATCAAACAAGAAAACAAAGTCAAACAAACCAAAACTATCTGGGTTTGGTTTGTTTCTTTTAATGTTTCCCCATCTGGGGGAAACAATTACGAGGAGAAAGACTCAATGAGACGGAGTTGGAGGAAGTTAAACGAGGAACCAGCACTGAGGAACTGAACAGAGGGTGTATTTATGGTAGACTGAAACAAAGAGAGAACTAACGAGCAGATTGGGAGCAGGTGTGAACTGAGCAGAGAGCAAAAGAGCTAGAGAAAGAGGAGAACACAAGAGGGCAGCAGAGGGCAACAAATAAAAACCAGAAAACAACCAGAACACAACAAAATAAGAATTAAACCACTAAAACAATGGAGCAAAGTAAAACTCAAAACTCAAAAGAAAACATAACAGAATCAGAACTATGACAGAAAGTTCAGCAGAGACAACAGAGGCCACTAACCTTAAAAAAAATTTAATAATAAGACACATCTCTCCTATCCTAGCTTCTCTTCATTGGCTTCCTATTAAAGTCAGAATATAATTTAAAATGCTTCTTCTCACATAAAAAGCCTTTAATGGCCAAGCTCCATCTTAAATCAGAGATCTGATTGTTCCTTATGTTCCTAACAGAGCACCTTACTCTCAATCTGCAGGTTTACTAGTGGTTCCTAGAATTTCTAAAAGTAGAATGGGAGGCAGATCTTTTAGTTATCAGGCTCCTCTCCTGTGGAACCAACTACCAGTTTTAGTCCGTGAGGCAGACAACCTCTCCGCTTTTAAGGGTAGGCTTAAAACTTTCCTTTTTGATAAAGCTTATAGTAAGAGTGGCTCAGGTTATCCTGAGCTATCTCTATAGTTATGCTGCTATAGGCTTACACTGCTGGAGGACATAGGGACCCCTTTTTCATCATCTGCTTCATTTTATCTCTATTCTCCCACTCTTCAGAATTTGTTAGATCAATCTCTAATGTTATGCTCTCTCTGCTTTTTCTCATAGTGGTTGATGTGGCCTGTTCCTGTTTGTCTGTGACACCATCCTGGAGAGAAATATCAGCTGTGCTGCTCCCATTAACACCTTTGTTTATAGATGTATGAGCTCTGCCTATTTTTTAGTGTAGTCCTGTATCCCTGACTGTAACTAGTTGGATGTGCTCTCTTCATCTTCTGATGAGGGAGCGGGCTCGGAGCTCGTCTGCCCTGCTGTGTGTTTCCTGGACGGGGCTGCCTGTGGAGCTGGCAGCCAACTTTCTCTAGCGATGCTTTGTTTTCACCTCTAAGTTTAACAATTAATTATTCTTACTTCTTATTTTCTAATGCGGTCGCAGGGGGGGACTGGAGCCTATCCCAGTAGTTCACGGGTGAGAGGAGGCGGGTTACACCGGGGATGGTTCGCTACTCCATCACAGGGTCACACAGAGAAACACAAAGTTCAACGACTACGCACACTCACACTCAATCATGCCTATCTTGGGTCATGTGATCACTCATTCATCTGTCTCTCTTTCTGATGTCAGAAGAGAGCTGGTTACTCATTCCTAAGCAGAAAATAAAGAAACACATCATCTTTTTTTGGTATGATCTCTTACTGTATGGATTTGATTGCTAATTACTCTCTGATTGAGAATCCTTTGTTATCTCACATTCATGGAAAAGGCCTTGCAGCTCAGGTTTTTTACTTGGTATTTTGAGGCTGAAGAAGGGTTCAGTCAGCTTAAACATTGTCTTTGTTAGGCCTCTGCCTTGGCTTTGCAGCAGCCAGAAAAGCCTTTTGTACAAATATTGGATGAAAACAGGGCTTCATCTATTCTCTTGCAACATCACAGCAATCCTCTAAGCACTGTGGCTTACCTTGATCCAAGTGGGATCCTGTTGTAGGCCTTCTTGGCTTCCTTCATAGGGTTGCTGCCACTGAAAGTGCACCTTTTGCTTCTATGGATATATTGTGTTTTTGTCTCAGTGCGTCATGCTGCTTCCACCATTCGTCGAGCAGAAAACATTACACCTTTCTATTATATTACACCACTGCTTTTGGACATGCCGAATATCACTTTTTAGCGGTGCACCACTCTAAATCCTGCCTTCTAGCACCGGAGGGGGATAGTGACCCCATGACTTCCCCATCATTCTTCAGACTGTGTCTACTCTTAGACCTGACCTTTCATTCCCCTGACCAACTCTGACCTGACTTTGTATGTTGATGGCAATTCTAGGTGTACTCTGGTCATAACTATGTGGGATTTGCTGTGTGTTCTGATTTTTAAGTTTTCTCCTCTGGCTCTTTACCCTCCCATTTTTCGGCACAAGCTGCTGAATTAATTGGGCTTACTGAAGCTTATAAGCTGGCTAAGCTGGCCAGTTGTAACCTGGCATTAGACAGATTGATGCATGTAATTAATTCAGAATTCTACATGGTATTGCTCTGGAAATCCTCCTGTGGAAAGTGTGTGGAAAAGGGAGGGGCATTTATTGTAATTCTTAAAGCTGATTGGGTAACTGCCTACCATGTCAAGGTTTTTGCCAAAGACAAGGTTTTTGCCAAAGACAGCAGCAGTAGCAGCTGAGAAGTATGACATTCACCTGGGTATGTTATCATAGAGTTTTCCTAACCTCAGCTACGTCCAGGTTTAGCGCCTCCTCCCCCTGGTGTGGAATGGCTTTCAATGCTGGAGTGCTGTCTAGTGCCTCAAAACTTACAAAGAAGTTGTTCCGTTTATTTACGAAGTCAGTGTTTGCTGCATCTACCGGGGGGGTGGGGGGTGGGGTGGGTTGTGAGGGTGTATTGTACTCCATAATCATCCGAATCCACATCCTCCTGGTATTGCTGTCGTAGTGGAAAAGATCCTGGATTTTCTGGCTGTGGTTCTGCTTCGTTGATCTGATGGCACAGTTTAAGTTGGGATGTGCTGTTCCCAGTGCCTCTTTATCTCCAGACTTGAAAGCTGAGTTCCGTGCTTTTAGCAATTTCTGAACCTCTCCATTTATCCAGGGTGGTTGTTTGGCCTGGGTGGGGATGTTCTTTTTGATGCTGATGTCCTCAAAGCATTTGTTGATGTAGGCTGACACAGTCATAGCATACTCATCAGTATTTAATAAGTTGTCATATGTTGCTGCGGCCTTGAACATGTTCCAGCCAGAGCATTCAAAACAGTCTTGGAGTGTTTCCATGGCGCCTTCAGACCACACTCTGACCTTTTTAACTGTGGGTTTAGCCCTGATCAGCTGGGGCTTATATGTAGGGATAAGCTTGACCGAGAGATGATCTGATGAGCTGAGTTGGGGGTGGGGGGCTGCTCTGAATGCATCTTTGATGTTAGAGTAAACCAGGTCTAAAATGTTTTCTGATGAATTACCTGATGAATCAAACTCTTACCAAATCCTGTTATGAGGAACGTGCAAGCATTCCAGCTCTGAGCGGCACAGCGATGTTTGTTTTGCTTCAGTCTTCTACCCATAGTTGACACAGAGACATCATACACGTCATTATATTTCATTTGTCTGAAACAGTCTTGCCACCATGGAGTATTCTGACAACCTCTGTGACAGGGTAGGTAGAGAATATGGTTCATTCACCTGTCTCCCCAGCCACCCTCGAAATCAGAAACATATGACCTGCTTAATAATTTTCAGAGAACCAGATTATTCAGACAGGCACAGTGTTGTGCTTAAAGGAATAGTACACCCAAAACATGATTAGCCTTCATTTTCTACTCACCCCATGCTGAACAACACCCTGGAGTACTTTTTTGATATCTCAAATGCATCTGGAGATCTGGGAGGCTTCTTGCTGTCTGCTGACATTCAAATAATGGAGGTCTATTGAGCCCGAGACAGAAAGGTCCATAAAAGTCCACAAAAAACGTGTCAATATTCCTCCATACTGCTCGTCCAATGTATTCCAAGTGTCCTGAGTGGGTAGCATCCAGAATTTACTCGAAACAAAGTCATTTAGAATGTTTTTAGAGCATAAACAGTAGTAATAGGATTTCCTAAAAGCGCGCGCAGGCGCATTCATGACGCTACGGAAGCCGGCAGACCAAACCAGATGAAAGTGCGCATTCAGCGTCTGCTCTGCCAATAATGCAAGCGTAGAAGAAGAAATGTGCTGTTTACCTGTGCAAAGAAAGAAACAACGAAAGAAAAATGTCTGAGGACTTCAGTGTTGAGGAAGAGCATGAGTTCTTATGGAGTATGGAGTATGGAGGAATATTGACACGTTTTTTGTGGACTTTTATGGACCTTTCTGTCTCGGGCTCAATAGACCTCCATTATTTGAATGTCAGCAGACAGCCTCCCAGATCTCCAGATGCATTTGAGATATCAAAAAAGTACTCCAGGGTGTTGTTCAGCATGGGGGTGAGTAGAAAATGAAGGCTAATCATGTTTTGGGTGTTCTATTCCTTTAAAACATTTATTAAACATACGTTGAAGTCATTGACTGAATTAGAGATGTAAGCAGGACAGGTTGGTGGCAGGATGAAAATGTGGAAGATGCTTTAACAGGCTGGTGACAGGTTAACAACCTAGTGGTGGGCTGAACAGGGTGATGGAAGGCAGCAATGGTGGGTGAAGGCCGATAATAGGCAGTTTAAGTTCTGACCAGAGTCAGAAGCTGGTTAGAATCCAATGAGGGCAGGGCAGGCACAGAAAGGAAGGAAAGCAGGAGTTGCACATAAGTACTGGGAATTAAGCTGAGCAAGGCAATTAGACAATCTGGCAGAGACGGACTAAGAGAGGCAGGTATTAATAGGAAGCATTTCATATGATTTTAATGTTAATTGGTAAGCAGCAGGGGAAGTTTTCACCAAATTAGCAGAATGGGGCAAATGAGGAGTAGCATGAAAACAACATCTCCAAACAACCAACCCAAAGTACAACTGCACAAAGGCAGGCTTCACGAGAATATTAATGAGAAACTACACAACACTGTGCCTTTCACACAAGCTTGTCCCCGCTGTAGAGAAAAAATAAGGTTAACTGAGTTGATAAGGCCACACTACTACTACTAAAGTAGCACTATACTAAAAGCACTTTAAGGGCTGCCAGTGACCTTTGGGACTAAACCTGCAATTCAAATGTCTAGAGCCCCTAGTGACTAATGTTGGCATTGTAGCATTAATGTAAGATTGAATAATTAGCTGGGATATAATTTTATGCTAGGATACAATTTCCCTGGGAGGCATCCTAAGTGGTGCAAAAACTTTCTATGGAGTTTTACTTCATGGAGCTTTTCCTTTACAAAAACCCAATAAGGCACTAAAGGCATAGGAAAACAAGGTGGCCTAAAAGTGTTTGTAAGAACAAATAGACAAAGAAGACCAAATAGTGAGAGGGCTAAATTTAATGTAACATAGCTGCATTTTATCCTGTATTACAAATCTAGGACTACATTGTAATGATTTAACAAAAAAAAAAATCCCTGATACAAATATACATTATTTAATTGGGTCAAACAGAAGTGAGAAACGTTCTAAATTAGAGCAGCAGCTAAGTCTTAAGGTGGTTTACACACCGCCTATGTTTCTGCACATAAGACAGCAAATTGGATAGCGAATGCGATTTGCATAGGCTACTTCCCTGGCAGTTTTCCATTTTAAACAGTTAAATTATATACACCAGACATATAATATGGTCGTTTCCATATTACGTGTGTAGATAAGCAGCGCTGTTCGTAATTCAGGGTGAGTTTCTAATTTCAGACGTAAGTAGCCTCCGGTTTGGGCTAGGAAGAAACAGAAACAAAACATCCAGTTTCACTGTTTACTTTAGGTCAGGGTCTTTGGTGCTTTTTCTACAAGATAATACCCAAAGCAGATGTTGATAGTTGGTACTTCACACATAGTACTGTCTAATTTATCTAATGTCACAAAAGTTAATCTTTGCTCAGGGCCCCAATGCTGTGGAGCGTTTTCTTCAGCATCTGGTGTAAATTTCAGTTTTCAAACATACCAGCATATGCTGCTTTACTGCGCTTATGAACAGTGACGCATCCGGTATATTTACTGCTTCAGTCTGAATGGAAAAGCAGGTTCAAAGCTGTGGGTCTCCGTTGTGATCAAGGTAATGATTGGTCTTAAAGAAAACTGAACATCATTAAAAAAATAATTTGATAATTTCAACTTAGTTAGAAATTTGAATGAATGGAAAATGTTCATGCTTTTAATCTGTTTCAGTATCTTTGAGTTCTTTGTTCTTTGGCTGAAGACGATGTTCTGAGTGTGCATTTAAACAACAAATGCTATCATTATTCATATAATTCTGAGTTCTGGACCTGAGGTTCACCCTTTGATGATTAAAAGGGGCAGGGATTCATAAATCTAAGGACAAGGTACAAGGAAGCTATGCAAGAATCTATGGTGAAGTCAAATGTGGCATTTGACTTTGAAGTACACACAAACGACACAAACTACAAAAAGACAGTGATGACCATAGTTTTTTTCTCAACTCTTTAACAGCCCTGGGTTTAGCTGCCCCGTTCTGAAATAGCTGCAACCCAGTGTCTGTGAATTCTAGTTTCACAGACGCCAATTGAACTGTGTCTTTATAAACTCGCTTTAGCATCTATGATAAGCTTCAGTTCCACCACAGGACTTAAACTATCTAATAACACCAGCTACAGCACGAATAGGTATTTTTGTCAATCGATTAGAGAAATGTTTGATGAAGCTGACCCTTAAGTCTTTACTGACCAGTCCGTAAACAATGGGGTTCATGATTGGGGGAATGATGAAGATGAGGATGCTGAAGAACTTCTTTATATCTTGGGAAAGGGAGGGGAAACGGTAACTCACAATCACAATCAATGAAGCGATTTGAAAGAGCACGTATACAACAATGTGTGGAGCACAGGTCTGAAAGGCTTTGATACGGAGGCTGGTGTCTGTTCTTCCTTGTTTTATGGCAACACTTAGGATTCTGATGTAGGAAAAAGCGATGAGAATAAAGGTCACTGTACTTAAAGACCAGGTCATGGCTAAACCTGAAAGACACAGAAAATGCTAATCAGGGGTCAAATATGATGAATGATAATTACGATGTATTGTTCCTCATATAAATAAGACATGTACTGACCATAGATGTCACTGATGGGAGTGGGAATGCAGGCCAGGTTTAAGATATCCCGGTTGCTACAATATAGTTGATTGATCGTTCTGCCACACAGCGGGACGTTCATGTGGAAGGAGAAGAGCACAGAAATAAGCAACAGGGCAACAATCCAGGCCAGAGTGCAGCAGCAGTGCAGTCGAGCTGATGTCATGATGGAGAGATACCTCAGAGGCTCACACACTGCAATATACCTGCAGAGAGAAAGAAACAGTTCTTAATGCCATACTCTATTTAAAGTTTCATTCTTCCCTTATTAGTTATCAGTTCGTCTTAACACACTGTGTTTTACTCCTCTCATAGGTTTCCTTAAAGTTTAGGTTAGAAATCTATACATTCTCCAATGTACATCCCTGCCTGTAAGCTAAAAATGAACCATATTGCTCTCAGAAGATTAAATGTTGCTCTAGAAATACATAATTAGACTTTGCTTTCAGTACACAAACATGGCCTGACTGTAAGAATTAAACACATAAACTGTCAGTGATAATTCAACCTTGATTCTCTTATAAAAAGGGTACATTTTTGGACTGTAAGAAAAAGTCATGAGTACTGAAGATTCCACACTAAAAACCCACAGACACCTCCAAAAGCATGTTTGCTAAACACTTTCACACCTTCCTTACCTGTCATAGGCCATCACACTTAAAATAGTCAGCATTGCTGCACCGTATGTGTGAGCACAGAAGGCCTGAGCAATGGCTGAGATGTAGGCAATCTTCTTTATCCCCATCAACAAGTCCATCATGAGACGAGGAAGCACCATTGTGGCTCCCAGCAGATCACAGACCACCAGGTGACAGATCATGACAAACATGGGTCTGTGTAGGTTCCTGTCTGTCATAATAACACAGATCACCACACCGTTCCCCAGCAGCACCACTATGTAGGCAAGCAAAGCCAGCAGAAACAAGAAGGTTCCAGTGCCTGGCTGTACATTTATACCCTCAAGCTCAAAAACAATCGGCTGTTTGAGAGGAGTTGTTTGGTTCTCCATCCAAAGCAGGACAGCTCTGTAAATCAGAACAGTTTCCTCAGTTGTAAATTCTATAAATTCTAGCATCTTAAAATTAAATTGTGCAGAATATTTGACATTTGATTTTATCTTTTAATACAAAATACATGCCAATGATATACCTCCAAATCATGCAGAAAATTCTCAAGTAGTGACAGCATCAAAAAATAAAAACATCTAATCAGAAGCATTACCAACAGAGATTGTATAATAACATCTAACAACCACTACTCTACATGTGAGCATGAAGTCAGTCTCCTGTCTGATGGAAGCGCTGAAATTGTTCTGAGCTGGTGATTGAAACTTGCCTCCCTTTAAAGCAGATCTGTTTGTCACCTTCCCAAACCTGGAAGTTACCATGGAAACACCAACTCCAGCTAAAGTACCTGTAAGGAGAATCAGTGGAGGTTTGTAGAGGCTGATACTAAAGCAAAACACTGGAAACCCTCAATAGCAGCTGAAGAGTCTTCTAAAGAACTCTAATAGGAAGAAAATTCAACCAATTTAACAAGTTAGTTAAACAAATGATAGTAGTACAGAGACAAAAGTGTTAGAAAAAAGAAACACTTAGTATTATGGATTCTATTTTTTTCTTTTAATACATCTTCAAAGATTGCCAGAGACTTGTAATCTATTGTTCTGACAACATCAATTGTTCTAGCCATGCCTCTGTAGGGCGTAGTTAATGGATGTCCGATAATGCTAACAAAGCTGATTTTACATAATTAAATGACATAAGGTATTCATCTTGTTTTTTTTCCAAATGGTGTTTTTTTAACAAAGGGTATTGCACTCTAAGTTGTTTGTGGAATGATGAGTGACTGGTTCACAAGACTGAATAATATTTCCTCTTCATGTAGGGAAAATACGCCTGATTTGGTGTCATTTGGGTCTAAGTCCTTAATTTACTTTCTAAAGTCAGTTCTACCTACACTTGATAGGGTTAAATAATAATAACCCCATATTTTCCTAAAAATGAGACCAGCACAACACACAAGTTACTTTTCTGCAGGAAAGGAGACAAGATACAGACAGAGAATTCTCACTCCCTGAAATGTCTGTGGTCAACTCTGCCAGAACCTCTCTTTTCTGCTGCTTTAATTATCGAACTTCAAAGGGATAACAGAAGGGGTCAGAAGTTGTCAGGAGGGGTCAGAGGTTTACACATGATAGAGCATGACAGTTCCTTGTGCAGTTTTATGGCAGGTGATGACCAGCTGCAACCACACCTGGCTGGATAGAGCATGACTTTTCCTGTTCTGGGAAAAAATTTGTTCAACAGAACAATCCTAGCTGGCCAAATGCTTGTAACTTAAAATAAAATGATAACACATACATTTTTCTAACAACACTTGGTCCTATGATGCTCTGCAGGTGTTTGAATTTTGATCTTCTTTTTTTGTTCACATGTTCATTGTCTCCTTTATTGTCATTTATATTCACATTATTTTCTCCTCATTAGTTTCTTATTCCTGTGTTGTGTTCATTTGTGTTATAAGATTTATTTCTCTTTGTCAAGACTCAGAACAGAGGACCCAGAATTGAAGCAAATAGACAGATTTGATTCTCAAAAGGGCTTATTTAAAAATGTTGGATCTGAAACTCAGCAGCTAGGGCGTCAAAGACCAGAATCTCTGTAGTGGGAAAACTAGGGTTAGTGACCAAATAAATCTGATGGAGAATGATTACAAGCGTGTGAGTCACTGATCTGCTTTAGAGTTTAGTCCATGCACTAAAGAAGGAGTGGAATCCAGCCCGATGGCTACCAACTGCACACGGCAAATGCCGCCCAGTGTTCCAAGAACCAAAGCCTTGAAACCAAAAGACAAAGTCAAAGCCAGTGTCGAAGATGTCCACGGGAGTTCAGGCCAGATGATCAGAGATACAAAGAGGTACTGAGGGGAAATCCAGGTCAAAGTCTCACAGGCACAAACCAGCAGGAGTCCTAAGACATGTCAAGCAAACAGAACAACAAACAGGTATGCTAGAAAACTCACCGAAGGCTTGAATAATCTGGCACTGATGAGTGGGAGAAAACAGTTTAAATAGATACTAGAGTAGGTAACACAGATGAACAGTGATGAGAAACTGAGCAGAGCTAGATTGGTGATTGGAATGAACCATTAAGCCAGTCATCAATGCCAAGATCAAGACAATCTCAGGTTAGTTTTGATTAGTTTGTTAAGAAACCTCTGTGAGATGTAGTTTCAGCTTCCTTTGTGTTAATAAAGTACCATTGTAGCTATCTCCAGTCAGGAATTAAGGTGAAGCGTACTGATGTTTCATTAAGTTCCTTTAATCACATTCCGTTTTACAAATCCTTTAACCTGATTCCCTTTCTACACATAACAGCGTAAGAGATACAGAAAAAAATAAGATTTAAGCCAGTCATCATTTGTATCTTAAATACTAATTAGCATCAGGTACAATGCTACATCCAAAGACGGATGTAATTTGGTTTTTGCACCAAAATAATACCTTGTTCTGTTTTAGGCTCTGTCCATAAGATTGGGAGTCCCATAAGATTAGGACTCCCTGAGTCTCAATCCAATCAACAATCGCCTGTACACTATTTAAGGCCTGTCGGCTGCACTTCTGGATCATTTATGGTATTTTGTAGGATTTAATGGGCTGGTAATTTGCTGCTTCGTAAGCCTGTTCAGACTTTTATTTTTTTGTAGGATTGGGGGTCTATAATTTTAGTATATTTACATGAATGGAAACAACATAAAACAATATGATAACATTTTCTTAACAGTGCTTTAAAACAGTCATACCTGTCTTAATCCACGCTGACGTTTGAAAAAGGAGGCACCGAAAGGAGAATCAAGTGTTTTGTAACGCTATTGGTGTCAAGGCTCAGACCAAGAGGACCCAATTTTGGAGGCAGACAGACAGATTTTTTAATCTAGAAAATGTATCTGCAGTGAATAGCAAGGGTGTCTAAGGCAGGTACGTCTGAGGGAGAGAGGATGATAATGAAGGTGTGAGTCAGTAACCTGGTCTTAAAGTTCAATCTGGGCCTAGAGGAGGAAGTAGGTTCTTGCTGGTCGGCTGCCCACAAGACGTGGCGGGTTCCGCCCAGAGAGTCCCTGATCCTGAAGTCCAGGTGGTCGAAGAACAGGCAGGGGATCACAGCAGCTGATCACACCTGCTCCCAATCTGCTAATTAGCCTGGCCAGTCACTCTTTGCTGGTTTGTCATTATTTCTTTGCCCCATTCTCGTGAGTATCCAGCTTTTGTGTCTGCATTTGGGTCCTGTCAAATCTCCACTGTGACAGTATAAACCAGCCAAAAATGGACTCAGCAAACCTGGTCTCATTTTTGGGCGCTCAGGAGAAACAGGAGGAGCAACTGGCTTTTTACAAGAGGAGATGAAATAACTGAATGCTCCAAGGGGCAAGTTCATGAATACTTTTTTGGAATAGATTAACTTTCTTAGGAATCACATCACGAAATTTCTGAGCTCTCCTGGCCAGCCTGCAAATAACCATACTCCTCCTCCAAGACTGGTCAGTTTTACCTCTCGTCTCAGTTGTCCCTCTCCAGTCTCAGACACTTCTGTTGTCCCCTTTCTAGTTTCAGACTCCTCTAGTGTCTCTTCTCTGGTCTCAGACCATTTTGTTGTCCCCTCTCTAGTCTCCGACCCTTCTGTTGTCCCCTTTCTAGTTTCAGACTCCTCTAGTGTCTCCTCTCTGGTCTCAGACCCTTTTGTTGTTCCCTCTCTAGTCTCAGACCCTTCTGTTGTCTCTTCTCTAGTCTCAGACACTTCTGTTGTCCCCTCTCTAGTCACAGACCCTTCTGTTGTCTCTTCTCTAGTCTCAGACCCTTCTGTTGTCCCATCTCTAGTCTCAGACCCTTCTGTTGTCCCCTTTCTAGATTCAGACTCCTCAAGTGTCTCCTCTCTGGTCTCAGACCCTTTTGTTGTTCCCTCTGTAGTCTCAGACCCTTCTGTTGTTTCTTCTCTAGTCTCAGACACTTCTATTTTCCCCTCTCTAGTCTCAGACCCATCTAGTGTACCCTTTCTAGTCTCACGCCCCTCTAGTGTACCCTCCCTAGTGCACTCTGATGTCCCTTCTCCACTCTCAGAGCCCTCTGGTGTCCCCTCTCCATGATCAAAACCCACTGGTTTCCCCTCTCTATGGTCAGGTCTCCTTAGTGTTCCCTCCTTAGTGCACCCATCAGCGAGCTCTGTGCCATCTAGAGACCCCTGAGCAAGCTCTGTGCTGTCCAGAGACCCCTGAGCCCTCTGATGAACTGGTCCCACATTTTGAGCTGAAGGAGGGTTTGTCCTCAAGGCTCCTCAGTGGGTGCTCCTCACCTCCAAGGCCATCCAAGGCCCCTCAGCAGGTGCTCCTCGCCTCCAAGGCCCCTCAGCGGGCACTCCTCACGTCCAGAGCCTCTCAGCGGGCGCTCCTCACCTCCAAGGCCCCACAGCAGATGTATGTTAAAGCTGAAGGTGAACACAAACCTATATACGTAAAAACTTAACTTGGGGTTGATAACAAAAAATGTAAGTTTTTTATTGGGACCTCACTGTGCTAAGCAAATCCTCGATATTTTATTTTATTACCTAAGAAATAAGGTATTTTCATTTACCCATTACAATGCACTCGACGGCCACTAGGGGTATGAGTACCCCCAGTAGGGGTATGAGTACCCTTAGGTCGCTGCCCTAAATAACCAAGCTCATTTTTACATCAGAGATATGATGATTATCCCATTGACATGAAAACTGGCTCAGACCAGATTTACTTTTACTAGGCAGATCCTAGCTATCTAACTCTTCTTAATTTGAAAGTAAAGTTCATACCTTGGGGTGTGGCTAGACAATAAACTTTTTTTTTCTCAGCTTTTATTGTCATTACACTGTCATAAGTACAGAGCAATGAAATTAACTCTGCATTTAACTCATCCCCTTGGGGAGCAGTGGGCTGCCAGGGAGCAGTGTGGGGTGAAGAGACTTGCTCAGAGAACCAGTGTGGGAGTTAGGCTTGAAGTCAGAACCTCAGGATTCCAAGTGCAATGCCCTAAACACTAGGCCACCACTCCCTTTTATCTTTTTTTTCTTATTTTTTTTTTAACTGGAATACTCAACATACAACAACCACCTGCACAGGAAGACAGAGCAGGATGTACTTCCTGATGAGACTGAGGTTGTTTAACAAGCTGTTTGAGATGGTCTACCATTCTGTGGTTGCTAGTGTTCTCTTCTACCCTGATGTGTGCTGTGGAAGCAGCACATCCAATAAGGACACCTCCAGAATGGATAAACTGGTGAGGTGAGCCAGCTTTGTGATTGGCAAGAAGCTGGACTGTCTGGACGGTGGTAGAGACAAGGACACAACAAAATGCTGGACATTATTTGACAGTCTTTGCCACTCAGAGGAGCCTGGTCAGTGGGAGACTGCTCCTTTCCAAATGTAGGACCAACAAACTGCTGAACTCCCTTGTTCCTCAAGCCATAAAGATGTACAACTCCTCACTTGGGGGAAGGAGGAGTTGATAGGAAGATGGATAAGGGTCATCACCCCCCCTCCTTGGACATCTTGTGCAAAACTTTACCTATTGTAACTCGTGCAACATTCTTTTCTCTCACTGTGCAATAACACATGCCAACTACTGTGTAGCCTGTATAATTTTTTACTTATTTATAAGGTCAGTACATCGCTGCTGTAACATATTACAGGACATTACAACTTTTCTTATGATCTTTTGTATTATATACAATCTTTTTATATTGTCTGTTGTATTTTTATATTTAATAGCATCTTGCTTTAACTCTTGCTAATGGAAAGCGTTCTCTCTCCAGTTCTTTTTCTTCAAAATAGATCACTCAGGACAAACTCTTTGAATAACACACCATAATATATATGTATTAAATTACCATGAGACATGACAACAGATTTTGATAGAAATTGTAATCTTACTTAGATCAGAGAAGTTGCTTGGGGTGACAGAAGGCAGCTGCTTACCAAACGGGCTCACTTCTCGTGAAGTGGCCCCGATTCACCATTAGAGAATAATTTTATACAACTCCAGTGTGCCACCTCATTACATCATAACATCAGACACGTTTGCAGATGAGGAGACATCCATGGCTCCAGCATTTCAGCTATACACTTTGTTCTTAGCTGAAGGACACGCTATCATTTGATTCCCAAATCTTTGCCACGTACATAGTGAAGATATGGTGAAATGTATATCTGGGCAGAGGAATTGTCCTAATTAGATAAACTACTGGGGAAAACATTAGTTCTGACACACAACAGGCAGGTTATATTGTGTAATAAACTCACACATCATCAATGATAATCACCCTAACACTCTACCCTTTGTACTCTATATAAGGTACTTTAACCAGAATTTCCTGGAAGGAGTAATCCAAATGGATAAATAAAGTTGAGTTTCAGTCTAAAAGTCCAAATTATTGCTACTATTTTTGCTTCGTGTCTGGGTTTAGGGGTAAACACCTGAGTTTCATCCTTCACTGTTGCATGATTTCTCAGCGTGAGTGATTGCTGCAAATCAACAACAATATGCAAGACAATGTCCACTGTAGCTACATGTTCATCCAAGATTAGAAATTTCAGCAAAGTCAATGAAAATTTTCCTTAAATAAAGCAATTTTAACTAATTGCCCTGGATGATTTAAAGTAAATGTTTAAAGTGCCTAGGGGAAACGTGTTGTAAAATCACTTCACATTAGTAAAGTAAATAAATAAAGTACCCAAAATTGTAGATTGACATCTGAGATAAAATGGATTTATTGTATTTAAGTGATGACATTTATTTAATTATTTCTTTTTAGGTTTCATCAACAATTTAGTTTTACATGATTTTTTATGAAGACATAGCCTGTATAAGAAAGTTCGTATCTCCCTTGACTGTAAACCATAAATGATAGGGTTCAGACTGCCCGGCACAATAACAAACAGAATAGCAGAGAGTTTTCTATAATCTGAGTACTGAGGGAATCGATGGAGAATGACAATTGCTACACCACTCAGTGACATAATAAGATAAACAACCAGATGAGTGCTGCAGGTCTTAACGGCTTTGTTGTTTAAGGATTTGTTCTTAGTGCTCAGACAGACAGCAGTGATCTTACCATAGGTTAGAACAATGCAGCCAATAGATGCTACATACAGCAGCACAGTGAAAGCTAGACCATAGATGTTATTAATGACAACACTCTCACAGGAGAGCTTGAAAAGAGACGCGTTATCACAGAACGGGTTGGTGATGAGAGTCCTACATCGGTTCAGCCGTACGGTCAGACCAATCAGAATTACAATCAGAACAAATGGTGCTCCCCATGAGAACACTATCAACTGAACAATTATTTTCCTGGTCATTATTGTGCTATAGTGCAGAGGATGACATATGGCCACATACCTGTCAAAGGCCATTACCATCAGTACAGTGTGTGAAGTAGTGCCAAACATGTGTGTAATAAAAGCCTGAACCACACATTCATAATAACCGATGAGACGCTCAGCAGGAGGCAGTAAGATGTCTGAGAGCAAACGGGGTAAAATATGAGTACTTCCAATGATATCACTGATGGTCAGGTTACAAAACAGCACATACATTGGCTGATGAAGATTCTTTTCAATAAAAATTATTGTTAAAATTCCCAAATTCATAATCATAAAAATGATGTACGAAAACAGAAAGAGGAAAAAGACGAGCTGAACAGAATCTTCTGGAACCTTTAAGCCCTCCAGCTGGAGTATGGGGCTGTTGAAGGTGTGGTTTTCCATCTAGCTGAAAAATAAAGAAATGCTTTACAAAACTGGCAAATTGCTGCTGAAATTATGTTAAAAAGCACTTACTTAACAAGGTATACTTAACAAAGGAAATAAATGGAGATCTCAACAAATGTAGAAGATATTAGTAGACAGTGTTTAAGACTATTAAACCCATTTTATATAATAATAGACTGAAAAATAGACAGAACCTGCTTGTGTTAAAGTGGCTTCATCACCTGAAGAATGAATGTTGATGTATTTGTACAGGTAGTTTTAACATTGGGGGAGTGTCCTGTAGCCTCAATGATGTAATGTCTAGGAATCTACATTCTTTACTTTCTTCTGCCTGTAACTCTGTCCTTATGGCTGTTGCTCTACACTGTAAAGGTACATTCACAACAAACAAAACCTGCAAAAATGTTGGCAATTTTCCTTGCTTTTTGCTGCTTGCTTTGGGAGATTGGAGAAGACTGCCTGGGAAAAAGGGCATCAGAGTAGGGGATAGGTTTGCTTGGCAGACTGAGTGGGGAAGCGGGAGAAATGCTAGCCTTGACAGTGGTGTTGGATGTAGGACGTTGCCCTTGAGCCAAACAATTGTTGGTTGAACCCCTGGCCTTGCCTGTCAAACTTGCTAACTTCCTAACCAAAATTTTGGTCAAAGTGACCAATTTGTATTGGTTTGCCCCTTTACCAAGATTGGTTGTTGTAAACTAAGGATTAATTGGACACATGACTACCAACCGGATTGGTTGATTTTTTTGGTTGTATTGACCTGATTTGTAGTTAAATCTGTTGACCAGGAAGCAGAGTTATAGTTTAACACATCTATCTGCAGCTTCTGTACCATTACCTACTCATTACTCCATCCAGACACTGTCTTGCCAAAATCAAATAAATTAGAAAAGAATCCTAAAGGAGTAAATCACTGTAAACTAATTAAAATTGGAATATTTCCGATTAAAACTATTAAATGTGGTTTACTTAACATAGGGTCTCTTTCTTCAAACTGTCTGTTTTTTAATGATTTGATTTGTGATGATTGCAGTGAATTTTGTAATCTTTTGGCACCATAGACCATCATTTGTTTTGAGAGCATGGGATTGTTTGTTACTGTTATGCTGATGATACTCAGCTATATTGGTCTGTAAATCCAAATGAAACTACCCATTACATAGATTTTAGGCATGTCAAGATATTATATTTGGACTAGAGTCACTGAAGATTAAGCTGATTAGTCAGTCACTTCATTTGAATGGGAATACATTGATCTCAGATAATAAAGTAAAATATCTTGGTGTTATTTTTTTACAGATCACTTGAAGTTCCTTATTGCATCTTCTGAATATTGCATAATATATATATACCGTATTTTCACGACTATAAGGCGCACTTAAACGTCTTTTTTTACCCTCAAAATGTGCGGTGCACCCTTTGGTGCGGTGCGCCCTATGTGTGTTGTAACTGCGACTTTTGAGACCACCTCATTGAGGAGATGATGAAAGAGTGGCTGAATGTAAGGAGACCAGGTGTTTTTTTTCCACTCATCACCATCACTGTTAATATGTAACTCCATGCGTGCCCATCTCACAGCTGATGTGAAAAACATGGGGAAACAAATTAACGCTGTGCTCGCTGTTCAACCACTCGACATCGGTGCGAACCGGACCCAGCAAGTGCAGCAGAAGCAGCGAGTTTACATGCAAAGTCAATAGTTGACGCGCGTATAGGCGCAGCAAAAGGTCCCGCAGCGCGTTTTGAGCAGCAGGCGCAGCGGGTCGGGAGCGTGGAGAAGAGATGGAAAAATTGAAGTTTTGCTGCTGGACGCGCCGCATCAACCAATCAGAGAAGCTGATCTGGGAGCTGACAGCGAGACAGACACAGCGCTCTGATGACATATGATATCAACGCAAATGAAAAAGGCTGGATGGATGAGATGATCAAAGCGTGGCTGAGGCAGGTGTATGTGAGGAGACCAGGTGGTTTTTTCCACGCATCACCATCGCTACGTGCCCATCTCACAGCCGATGTGAAAAAAAAGGTGAATCAAATGAACGCTGTGCTCGCCGTTATCCCGGGGGGTCTGACAAAGGAACTTCAACCGCTCGACATCGGTGTGAACCGGCCGTTCAAAGTAAGGCTGCAAGCGGCGTGGGAGCGATGGATGACCGACAGAGACCACAGTTTCAGGATAAGTGGAAGGCAGCGCCGGGCAAGTTACGCCACCGTTTGCGGATGGATTGTAGATGCTTGGACTAACGTGTCTGCTGGCTCTGTTGTTCAAGCTTTCGCAAAAGCCGGCATTATTTCTGAGGAGCCGCCCGGCACGGAAAGTGACTCTGACAGCGAAGAGGGGGAAATTGGCATGTCTGATTTAGCGCAGCTGTTTAATTCAGAAACAGAGGATGATGACTTTTTAAGGGATTTGATTAATACTTTGTAATAAATACATGAATAAACCACAATCATACTCAGTTTTGCTTCCGCTCTATTTTTCTACCTGAAAACTTAATTCAACAGCAGCCTCTGGGCCGGGTCTCCTCCTCTTCAGCGCGGTGGCTGGCAGGTGTTTTTTCATCTAAATAATCTAAATCTTGCAGCTATATTTGCTGTGATCAGTGGGAATAAAGTAGTTTTAATATGTTTTTAAGTGAGAAAGTCCACCTGAAAACTTAATAATTGCAGTCAGTTCATCCAGATTATCTATTTCTGTCGGAGGCGCTCAGACCCCCACATACCAGCGGTGCACCGACAGTAGAAATCCTTTCATCAGCAGCCTCTAGGCCGGGCAGCCTCCGGGTTCACGCGGTGGCTGGCAGGTGTTTTTCATCTAAATAAATTAAACTACAGGCACCAGGATACCGGTAATAAAAGCGAACATATTCTGCGGCAGGTTTCAGGATTTTAAGTTAATTTAGGAGTGATCACAGCGCTGTGTCATCTGCGATGTGTCTGTCTCACGGCCAGCTCCCAGGTTTGATTAATACTTTGTAATAAATACATGAATAAAGCACAATCATACTCAGTTTTGCCCCCGCTGTATTTTTAAATGCGCAGTAGAGGTATTTAAAGGTAGTAGAGGACATGTACCTGTATATAAAAAACGCGCCCTATAGTCCCATGCGCCTTATGTGTGTGTTAAATACAGAAATGGCACACATAACTGAGACTGCGCCTTTTAGTACGGTGCGCCTTATGGTCGTGAAAATACGGTATACATAATATACATATTGTCCAGGTGTTTAAAAAAAAACAAAAAAAAAAAAATTATAATTAATCCACTGGACTTTGTTTCCAAGTTTGAAGCCTTTTCGCTTCCCATCCAGGAAGGTTTTTCAATTAAAAATGTCAGAAATAGCATTAATTCAAGGCTTTATAGAGTGGACAAAAAACAAAGTCTTGCTTTGGTTTAGAAAACATGCAAATTGAACCAGATGAACGGCTCCGCCCCTTAGGAATGGGCAGTCGCTTGTGTTCTTTGTTAGCATGCGGGGGTTGCGATGATAGTGGGAAGGAATCAAATCTATCGCTGCAATGTAGGTTTTTGAAAGCTGAAACCCCCTCTGTTTAAGGTTGTTTTTTCTTTCTTAACATACGTGGGTCCCTTTACATCCTTCTCAAACTACCTGTCTTCTTTGTCCAAAATGTGAACATTGTGGTCCTCAAAAGAATGTCCTTTATCCATGTGATGTAGATGTACCGCCTAGTTTTGTCCAGAGCAGGCCGCTCTTCTCCACTGTCGCCATATGCACGCTTGGTATGAGGGATTGCCTTTGAGTAAATGAGTCAATGCAATCAGCTTGTTTTGCCTAGATGGAAAACTTTGAACCAGTCTGATTGTATGATCTGGTTGGATTGTCTCTCTAAAGTGCCTTAAGATTATATGTGTTAATTGGCGCTATATAAATAAACTGAATTGTATTGGAATTAAAACCCGAAGTCGGTACCAAGACTACTTCTCCTAGGTCTCCGTCCTGGCCTCCGCAGACTCACCCACGCATGTTCGTTATCCCTAAGCCTATGGAATTATAAGATAGGATTCAAAGGGATTGCTATGGTGGAGGACAAGATTTGCAGACCATCCTACTGTATTGATCTTAAGGCCCCATTGTCTTCAACACGAAGCTGGCCAATCTAGCAGCCGAAATCATCCATTAATTTCTTGTAACCTTAATTCCATGACAGCTACCATCGATTTAACAGTTGAAATGTTGGTCTGTATTTTTTAGTGACCATTTTTTTGTGACCATTTCCACAGTAATGTATTGTTATACACAGATGTGAATGTACAGTTAAAAAAAGAAAAGTACCTGATTGAACCTTTAGGGGTACACCCCTATTAATTATATCTCCAAGGTGTATATATATATATATATATATATATATATATATATATATATATATATATATATATATATATATATATATATATATATATATATATATATATATATATATATATACTGTATATAAACTGTTTTCTCACCCCTCGTGGGGTGGTATGTGTCATCCTCAAGCTCGGGTCCTCTACCAGAGGCCTGGGAGTTTGAGGGTTCTGCGCAGTATCTTAGCCGTTCCTAGGACTGCGCTCTTCTGGACAGAGACCTCTGATGTTTTACCTGGAATCTGCTGTAGCCACTCTCCCAGTTTGGGGGTCACAGCCCCCAGTGCTCCAATTACCACTGGCACCACTGCTGCTCTTATTTTCCACATCTTTTCTAGCTCCTCCTTCAGCCCTTGGTATTTCTCAAGCTTCTCGTGTTCTTTCTTCTTGATGTTGCTGTCGCTTGGTATTGCCACATCTATCACTACTGCCTTCTTCTGCTGTTTGTCGATCAACACGATGTCTGGTTGGTTAGCCATCACCTGTTTGTCAGTCTGGATCTTGAAGTCCCATAGGATCTTAGCTCGGTCATTCTCAACTACCTTAGTAGCTGTCTTCCATTTTGACCTTGGGACTTCCAGCCCATGCTCATGGCAGATGTTCCTATACACTATGACAGCAACCTGGTTGTGGCGTTCCATGTATGCACTTCCTGCCTGCATTTTACACCCTGCTGTTATGTGCTGTATTGTTTCAGAGGCATCTTTGCACAGTCTTCACCGGGGGTCCTGCCTGGTGTGGTAGACCCTGGCCTCTATTGATCTTGTACTGAGTGCCTGTTCTTGTGCTGCCATGATTAGTGCCTCTGTGCTGTCCTTCAGTCCAGCCTTTTCCAGCCACTGGTAGGA